CATTTCTCTAAAATTTCCAAACTCATTATATAGGTTTGATATTAAGGTTTTATCATGATAGACACCAGTTTAACTGTGGTGACACACAACATGCCTTTCTGTTAAAATTAAATAAAACCACTTCTCACAAAGAACAAGAACATGGTCTAATTTTTTATGAAATACCAGTGGTTATATAAGCTAATTATGCATTCTTTATAGCAACTTGTTTACCATAAAACAATGATTCATTCTTTCAAGCAGACATTTATTTCTATAAATAAATGTAGATTCATATTTATATTTAAGGCTACTAAAGTTTTTCAGTCAAGAGGAGTGCGTGTCTTTCTTTTGTTGCTTGATTAATATCAATGACTCGGACAATAGCAACTAAATTAGGCTGCTGTCCCTTTAAAACCGAATGCACAGCTGCAATGGATGCAATGTACTGATACACGTTCCTCCTACTGTTTACGTTCACTTAAGACGTAATCAACTGTGTCTACGTGAATACTCGTCAAAACGGACAATTCAACAATTTTGTGTGTAATTCTCCGTTCATGCGAAAGAGTACTCGCTTGCTGTGAAACGCGCTTTGTGTGTATAGTGTCTGCGCTCAGAAAACCGGACCGAATTGAGTTCTCTCTTGCATCGTCAGATTTATCCATATGTCTGCTCTTCTCTTACTCCCACATATTGACATTTTTTTTACGTTTTATGAGACGTGCAGCAAGTGTATTTTAGCTTATGTCTCGCTGGTTCATATGTACGCATAACCTCTGAACCACGCAGCATATTCTTTCTGAATGAATCTCATCCCAAATCGTGCCTCCTCAACATTTTCGTCTCGTTTTTATTCTTTGACGAAAATGTCAATAGATTTACGTCATAGTTTTTGTCATTCAAAAATAGTTTTAGTTCGTTATCGTCTCGTTGGCGTCGGTGAAAAAAATTTTGATTACGACAATTATGACGAAAATTATTTGTCAACGAAATTAACACTGGTGTCCAGTTTGCGCACCATCTTAAGGCTTGGACGGGACAAAGCAATGCTAGGGCTGGCTAAAGCATGACCCTGATCGGGCATCTCTGGTGGGTCTTCTCGGCGAGAAGAACACCACTCGACGAACAGGTTCCACTTCAAGGCGTGAGCATGTCTCGTAGACAGTGCTCTTGCCGAAGTGGTGTAAACTACCTCCTGGGGTAGGTCATCTAGAACCTCTGCGTCCCATCTGGATGCGGATGCCACAGGGTGCCCCATCTCTGAGTCAGTAGTTCCTTCCTCAGAGGAACCAAGTCCGAGTGGGCCAATACGGCGCCACAAGCAGGACCTGCTCCTCGTTCTCCCTGACCTTGCACAGCGTCTGTGCGAGAAGGCTCACTTGGGTTTTTTTTTTTTACCATCTGGGGATGGAGTCTCCACTCTCCGGGGAGCACAGCTCGTGACAGCTCGTCGGCTGCACAGTTGTGCAGGCCCGGAATGTAAATGGCACGAAGTGACCTCAGCTGCTTCTGACTTCAGAGGAGGCGGTGGCGGGCAGTGTTGTGCAAGTTACTTCCAAACTGTAATATATTATAGGTTACTTGTTACTTTTATTTAAAAGTAATTCCTTACCGTACAATATTACTGTCTCAGAATTGTAATGCGTTACATGACTCCTGTATTACTTTTGAGTTACTTTCACCAAAATAACTACAGAAGTAGAACTTAACATTCTAAAATGACAAAATGTACCGCAGAGCCTTTTACATCCAGTAGAGGGCAATATGGTGTAGCATAATGACTGTGGGCTATCCAGGCTACTAACAATATAGCTTATAATTGGGAAAGTGAAGGCTCAAGACAATGCACGAAAGGATGACAGCCAGAATCACAAACGATCCAAGTCTGTTAAAAGTATGGTAGAGGTAAAGTGATTATCTGGCAATATCTATGAATAGCTTGGGTCTATTCATATTAGACACAACAGGACTATATGTAAACTCTAATGCCATGGCAAGATGTACATACGTCCATCTCGCAAATGTGCAATCTTCTGCCAACTGTACCCATTCGCCGCTTTTCCACTGGCCAGTACGAGCCGGGGGTAATAGCCTCGGACCTCAAGCGCAGACTCAGAGGCCAAAATCATGCTGCGTTTCTACTGTCGGGCCAGTAGCCTCGCAGCACTCCTGTAAAAGCCACCCTAAACACACCTTCACTGGACTACGTCACACAATTCAAAGTTCCACCAGCCAGAGGGAGATGAATTAAATAAATCGCTAAACAAATATATCAGAAGCTGTCATTTAGTCTTTATTTACAAACTTGGACACCACACGCAGCTACTGACTGACCATGAACAGGAAATATAACTTATTTGCGGCATTTTTGATTCATTAATGTCTCGCGGTCTTGCAGGTTTTTTGTTTCTTTGAACAATTACATTTTGGGCTAAAAGAAAAGTGTGTTGTAACGCAAGCGTTACTGAACATGTACAGAGTAAAATATTACTGAAAATTGATTAGTAATGCCTTACACTACTGCATTATAGCAAAAAGTAATCCGTTACTGTAATGCCTTACTTTTGTAACGTGTTACTCCCAACACTGGTGGCGGGCGAGTTGCGACATGCGACGGGAACATAGACCAACTTGTCGATTGATGGTGTGGACCAGCACGTGCTTGCCTCGTAAGCGCCCTCTGAGACGGTTCAAGGCAAGGCGTACTGCTAACAACTCTAGGCGGTTGATGTGCCAGTGCAGTTGGGGGCCTGTCCAAACCCCCGACACTGCGTGCCCATTGTACATGGCCCCCCAGCCAGTAGTGGAGGCATCCGTGTAAACCACAGCATGCCTGAAGACCTGTTCCAGGGGCACTCCTGCCCGGAGAAACATGAGGTCTGACCACGTGGTGAAGGTTTGGTGGCAGGCCGGTGTGACTTGGACCCGGTGAGTGCAGCGCTGCCACGCTCACCTCGGGACTCAGCCATGAAGCCAGTGTTGAAGCGGTCTCATATGAAGCAGCCCCAGCGGCATGACTGACGCTGCAGCTGCCATATGCCCAAGGAGCCTCTGAAACTGTTTTAGTGGGACCGCCGTCCTGCTCTTGAACATATTCAGGCAGTTCAACACCGACTGAGCACATCCCTGCATGAGGCATGCTTGACTGAATCCAGCTCCATACCGAGAAAAGAGATCCTCTTGTGTTGAGGAGAGTTTGCTCTTTTCCCAGCTGACCTGAATGCCCAACTGGCTAAGGTGCGAGAGCATCAAGTCCCTGTGTTCGCACAACTGATCCTGAGACTGAGCTACTATGAGCCAGTCGTCGAGGTAGTTGAGAATGCCAATGCCCTGCTCTCTCAGGGGAACTAGGGCTGCCTCCGCAACTTTCGTGAAGATACGGGTCGACAGAGACAGCCCGGAGGACAGGACCTTGTACTGATGTGCTCATCCTTCGAATGTGAAACGCAGCAATGGTCTGTGGTGCAGAAGGATTGACACATAAAAGTACGCTTCCTTCAGGTCGATCGCTGCAAACCAATCTCGGGGACGGATGCACCTGAAGATGCGTTTCTGCGTCAACATCTTGAATGGTAACCGGACGGGTGGAGGCAGCAGCTGCCTGCCGGGGCAGGACGTGTCGGATCGCCTCAGTCTGCTCCTGTGCAGCCGCTGGGCCACGTTCTCGACTGCGTCTATGAAGAGGCCGGTCTGGAACACTGGAACCTTGAGGAACCGAACTTGTCGGCATCCCTCATGTCAGCCAGACACAGCCAGAGATGGCGCTCCTGGAACACAAGTGTGGACATCGCACGACCCAGAGAACACACAGTGACCTTCGTCGCTCGGAGCACGAGGACAGTTGCAGTTCAGAGCTCTTTCAGAACTTCCGGATCGTGACCACCCTTGTGCAGGTTCCGCAGTAATTTAGCCTGAAGAACCTGCAGTAACGCCGTAGCATGTAAGGCGGAGGCAGCCTCCCCACAGGTCACATAAGCATCGCCAGACAGACCAGACGAGTACCTACAGACCCGGGAGGGGAGGCACGGTTTGCCCTGCTGGGTGGAGGCAGTATCGGGACACAACTGCATCGCAATCAACCGCTCCACCAGGGGGACCCCCGTATACCCCCTAGCTGCCCCACCATCGAGAGTGGTGAGGGAGGAGGAGCTAGCAGGTCGGTTTTCGGCAGAAAAAGGTGCCTACGGGAAGAATGGCACTGGTGCGGGCCGCTGAGAACCAGTGCGGGCCATCCCGGAGAACCAATCGTCCAACCTTGAGATTTCCACTCGAGACCTACCCTCACGGCGGTCCGGGAAAGCATAGCTGTCATTTCCGGATCCGATTCAGGCATTGCTACAGTCCCAGAGGGCAGCAGCGCAGCCGACTCTTCCTCTCCAGAAAGCTCCAGCTCACCCTCTGATGCAGAGATCGACATCCGATCGCCGAGAGGAGCGCCAAAGGATACTGCTGGTACACTCCTTGCAGAGGGCCCAACACGTTCCTTTGGCAGCTCAACTGGTTGCGGAGTGCAATGGGGGATGGCCCACCACTGCTAAAGCGCGGTACCGCCAACACCAAGAGCTCTCAAAGAGCGTGCTGAACTCGTTCAGTCTTCTTTTCTCAGTAGAGCAGTCAGGAGCAAAACGATGTGATCGCTCGGCTTCGAAGCAAAAAGTGGGTATGCATTGCACCAGCTGCCTTTTTATGCTCACGCTGTGATCAGCGGCAGCTGGATGCAATCATCACATGCCAATGTGCATTGGCTCGTTTTGTTTACACTCCAAGTGAATTGGTATCGCTAAGCGAGATCCCAATTCATCGGTCACCGACGTGACATAGAGAGTGACCGACTGAAAGGGAACAAAATGTAGGATGAGATTTGATTTTTCTTTTAATGATTGGAAGGTTGAAAAAAATAAGAGGGAATGATGACATTGAAGAAAACTGACGGAGCACAATAAGACTAGGAACATGCATTTAAGAATGTATGCTGTTATTTTATAAATTATATTAAGGGAAGTTAAGATCACAAGAAGAAAAACTAATGGAAATGACAGGCCTAGCATTCAAGCAAATGTGAACACTTTGTTTGTGGTATCCACAAATATCCATGTTCTCTAACCTGAAGACACGATTCCCTGTATGTTCAGTCTTCCTTCTTTTAATTCTCCAGTTCTGAGAGAGACTGAACATGAGACCAGTTGAGCGTCTGAGAGAGAGACGGCCGTCCAGCTGTGGACAGAGAACATCTCATCTGCTCCACGACTGTGAGACGATCCTCCAGGACGGAGAGCCCTTCCATCATCTGACGTCCATGAGACGCTGGGCTCTGGAAGCCAGCCGCTGGACCTGCAGCTGATGTTCACACGCCCATCATCTAGAGGCTTTGGAAACAGGACAGGAGCGGATCCTAAAGCTGACGAGAGGAGGAGAGACAGATGTTCAGATCTTCTCCTGACACAAAAACTACATGCAGGATAATAAGTATACTGTTTAAAACACTGTCTAATGATGTTATGATTTTTGAATTTCTTCTCAGGGTCTTGGAACAGTTCAACAGTTCTGTCATCATTTATTCAACCTCCAGTAAACCGATAAGACTCTATACTATACCTTACTATACTATAATATATATACTGTATATTAGTTGGGCAACCGATATATTGGCCGATATTTGGCATTTTTGGGCATGTTTTTATATTTGGCTGACAAGAGTTGAATGTTTTGTTTCGACAGCAATATGAACTCCAAACTTGTGCAAAAAATAGACTTTAACAGGATTACAAAATCAAGAAGTTGCTATTTAAAATATAACAGTTAATTTATTTTACAGATTTATCGGTTACATTCACTAACAGGAAGTAACTTTGCAGCTACATGTCAACAAAGTGTTACCCATTTATTTTTATAATTTATTTCTAATTATTTTAGTAAATATTATATACAAAAAAATCCATTGCAGCAATTGTTATGCAAATACAACTAAAATAGTATAATATCATATATATATATCGGTTTCTATTGGTCATTGGCCACCCTGCTCTTTATGATATCGGCATCAATATCGTCCATCAAAAAATCCATATCGGCTGACCACTACAAAAAAGCACTATTATCATAAGAGGAATCCAAATGACTCAAGTTTAACTCGGGTATGCGTACACCATGTTTGACGCCATGATTTCAGCATTTTCTGCAAATAACGACGAGTTGAGTCTGTTTCTCACATTAAGCAATCAAAAGACTTGGAATTTAGTCATATGGGTTTTATATCAACAGTCCTCAATGATGATGAGTTTTCATTATGCAGAAGAGCACATGGAGGAGAGAATTTCAAAGTTTGGCTGAACTGTGGCTTTAATGAAGTGTAGATCCTCAGAAAACAGACTACTCACCTGTGATTTTGAGAACCACTTCTCGGCTGTCATATAAACTTTCTCCACTCACGTAACAGTGAAAAAATCCATCATCTTGTACTCTGAGTTTCTCCAGCCGTAGAGAGACGTCTCCATCCTTCAGTCCACCAGACTGATCTGACCGCAGAGCCAAAGAGCTTCGGTTCCTGTACGGTTCCTCCTGGACGTCCTGGAGCTTCCCATGATTATAGAGCAGAACAGGGGTGCTGAACTGATCGTGACGGTACCAGCGGATCTCCAGAGCTTCAGCGTTCTCAGGAGGAGAGATCCAGCAGGGAAGAATCACTGTGGATCCCACATGAGCCGCTATAGGATCACCAGGAACCACTACAGTGAACGACACTGAGAGAGACACGCACACTCGTTTTAACAGGAATCCTGGCGATCTGGGAATGTTTGCATGAGAGCAGAAGATCTCACCACTTGCACAATTTGCGGATTCGTGGCGTTAACGAAGAGAAAACTGCTTGTTTTGAAAGTGACTTCTGTGCTTCATACATCACTACACTACTGACTGACAATGGATGCTTTTTTGTACACTAAATTTTGCTAATGTAACTGATCATTGAGTCCTACTTAAAGGAGTAGTTCACTTCCAGAATAAAAAAATCCTGATGATTTACTCTCCCCACGTCATCCAAGATGTTCATGTCTTAATTTCTCGAAAAGAAATGAAGGTTTTTGAGGAAAACATTCCAGGATTTTTCTCCATATAATGGACTTCAATGGGGTCCAACGGGCTGAAGATCCAGTTTCAGTGCAGCTTCAAAGAGCTCTACACGATCCCAGCCGAGGAATAAGCCTCTTATCTAGCAAAACTATCAGTCATTTTCTTAAAAAAATTAAAATAGACTTTTAACCACATATGTTCGTCTTGCACTAATTCCGCGATGCACGTCTGCAATTTGGACCTTCAGCCCATTGGTCCCCATTGAAGTCCATTAAAAAATCCTAGAATGTTTTCCTCAAAAACCATAATTTCTTTTCGACTGAAGACAGAAAGAACATCTTGGATGACCTGGGGGCGAGTAAATCATCAGGACATTTTTATTCTGGAAGTGAACTACTCCTTTAACACCGGCAGTAAATAAATATTGAAAGATTGTCCTATGGCGTTCTGGCCTTTACAGACTAGAGTAATAAATGTCATTAATTGTCGGCGTTTTCATATATAATTACTAAATTCTTCATTTGATCTTTCACTGATTTTAAACATGCTTGAATCGTTTCTTGTTCTCCGATAGTTTGCTCATCATTAGTTCAAACTCTTTGTTCATATAAGTGTTATCTGACTGGCAGAAAGGTGGTTGTTAAAGGGGTTATATGATGCAATTTCAAGTTGTTCTTTCTCTTTGGAGTGTTACAAGCTGATTGTGCATAGATAAGATCCCTGAAGTTACAAAGACTAAAGTCTCAAAACCAAAGAGATATTCTGTTGTTCGGAGACGCAGTGGAATTAGCCGCTGACGATTCAAACGTGAGTTTTGGGCAGTGTAGAGTAGGGCTTGTTGTTTGTCATTTCTCCGATCACAAATGCAGACATGGTTTTATGTTTACGCGGCGCGATAATATAGAAAGGCAGGGCATGGAGGAGAAACAATAATGTACAGTATGTGGAAAATAATGCCTTTTTTTAACCTTAAACCGCATAAACATTTCATTACACCAAATACACAACATAATGTTATTTTTAGCAGCATCATGTGACCCCTTTAACAAGAGGATTCCTCTAGTTCTGTGTACAATTATAGAGCGATACATTATTGTTGTCCTTATTTTTTTAATTGTCGGATTATAATTAAGTATCAATGAATGACACCGTTTTGACTGTCATGGTGTGCGCATGAACCAGTCTGAAATACCTGCTAATTACGTTGCTTTTGCCTATCACTTATATTGGGCACTTTTTGCATTTAAACTGGATTATTCTGACTGCTGACACTGAAAATCATGCATGTGTTGTTTAAAGGGTATCGGTTAATTTCATGATTGCCGTTTGGACAGTGTCAACTATATATCTGTATATATGTAACTATATAGTCTAACCCTATCAGATTTTGCTTCCAGCATGATATTAATAAGGTTTGAGGCTTTATTAACATGTACACCTACCCCAACCCTAAACCTACCCTTACAGTATTTAACACGGTGTTGACATATAATATAATATATGGGTGTAGGAGCGCACGATGGTCACCGAGAATAAACTGTGTGCGGCCCTGCAGATAACGCACAAATCAGACAAACGCTTTATTGTTTATGATGAGACAATTCGCGGAATTCAGTTATCGAACGCACGCGCACTCAACAAAGCTGATGAGTTTCAGCGGTGACTCATCCGAACGCTTCTGATTGGCCAGTGCGTTCCTACATATCATCAGCATAAAGACTTATTTTGTGGTGTATATTTAGTGTTTGG